AGCACACTGAGTTCTCCAGTGGCTATCATCATGTCTCCCTCACAACAACAACAACAACAACAACAACATCGAAGGCTCTCTGTCATGCAGTGGGAACCAATCTCCTCCTCAACAATCAGGATAAGGATCAGGATCACGTTCACGACACCAAGATTCAACTCGAAAGGGAGGAAGGAGGGAAGGAAGGAAGGAAGGAAGGTAGGTGGGGAGGCCACAATCATAGAATGCTACACTACACACCTATAAACAATGCAGACACAGACGACGAGGGGAAGGAGGAATTCTACAGACAACTGCAATCAGCAATCACCAATGGACAAGACCCCACCTGAAATGGCGACATCAAAATACATTGTAATGTGTGGTGTGACATGAATGCCAAACTGGAAGTGGACAACACAGACAGAGAAAGAAGTAATCATGGGTGGAGAAGCACTCAGTGAAATGATGAATGAGGATGGGGAACTGTTTTCAGATTTCTGCCCATTCAATATCTTGGTGATTGCAAACAGTGTGTACAAACACAAGGATATATTCACAAAGTGAGCGATATGGATTTGATTTCACCAGACACCACTTCACACTAGACTAAAAATCAGATCGACTTCATGTGAATGTGAAGCAAGTAGAGACGCAGTCAGCGTACTGGACACAAGATGAGAGAGATGAAGAGTGGGAGCAGGTGTAGGTTGAGACCATCAGACTATCAGACTATGTAGTGTAGGGAACCTACCATCGAAATCAAGTTGAAAGCCTTCAGATCAAGAAATGTCGTGATAGAAGATAGTTCAAGTTGACGTTGAACACCCAGAAGATGAACTGAAGTGAAGTAGGAAAGTACAGATGACATGTTCACTTGGTCAGTCATGAGGACGAAATGGGAGAGATTGAGGAGGACCATGGATGGAATGTGTGTGTAAGAACGTTGGAGGTGTGTGAAAGTGATGTGAAAGTAAACCTGGATGAGCGTGTGAGGAAGGGAGAAGAAATAAGACAAGACAAGACAAGACAGGACAAGACAAGAGAAGACAAGTAATGGAATGGAATGGAATGGATGTTGACGGACACCTGGGAAGTGATAGAGGAGGGAGAGGAAGATGGTGATGATGATGGTGAATCAGAAGATGAACTTGTGCAGTGTAGTGCAGTTCAGTGCAGTGCATGGATGAACAATGAAAAGAGGAAGTGAATACAGCCTGTGAAATCCTACACTGGACAAATAAGATAAGAAAGGTACATGGAAAGACAAAAGACTCTTTCTTCTATGAGACGCTGTCAAGTGAAGTAGAACAGTGTGCAGGTGGTAGAGACAGGGACTTGAGAGCATTGAATTGAATGAGCAGGTTACTATGTGGGAGGGAAGAGATCGACGTAGATGAAGCCAATTAGAGATAGTGAAGGAAACTCAGTTATCACTGAAGAGTCGAAACGATGGAAACACTTAGAAAACTCTTGAATCAACTACTACCTTTATCTGGTTCAGAAATGTGACCATCAGCCCATCCACAGGAAGCAGGGCTTTTCTGTCGAACTCCCAAAGGAGGGAGACCTGAGTCTTTACAAGAACTGGTGTGGTGTCTTGCTCCATTCCTGTGGTCACCAATCAAAATTTTATGTCGAATCATCCTGAAGAGACTGAGCAATGCTCTGGACTCAACTCGACTTTGAAAAATCCTTCCGTCGGTAGCATCAAAAGCGCGGAGAAGTAATTTGGCATGCAGCTGCTTCAGCGATACGATTTTGGTCCCACAAACCTTCTTCAACCTCATTTAACAGTAGCTATATGCTATATGATTCTACATGCCAAGTGATTCACAACACAATGGGAAGCTCAGTGACGCCTTTGAAGAGAAGATAGGAGTAAGACAAGGTTGTCGTCTACTATCACTGATGATCTTCTTGAATGTGTTCAACTTGACTGGACTGGATCATGCAACAGACAACTGTGGGGCGTGATAAGATGGGCATACACTGTTTGACCGACGGTGCGAAAAGACACTGGGTGATCGGATTTCGCCAGTGATGATTTATGTCTTACGTCTTGTCACACAAACTCGAAGATCTACAGGCGAAACCAACAAGTTGACAGAAGAGGCAGAGCAGCGAAGACAGGACTTCCCTTCGGTGAACGTAGAGAAGACGGAGGTGAGAAAGATACCTAACCAGCAACAGACACCAATCACCATTAATAAGAGAAATCTAAAGAAAGTTATCTGTTTCATCTACCTAGGTAGCATCCTTTCAACTACAGGCGGCATAGGCACAGTTGAGGATATGAAAGCCAGCCAGGATAGAGAAGGCAGCAAGACAGGTCTTTCTCCATTAATCTGAAATCAGTGTGGTGATCGACTGCACAGAACTGCTTTCAACATAAAGTGTGGACAATACCGGGATTTTCAATACTAATTCAGGCAATTGAGTTCTTCTATGTAATGGTTGAGAGACTTGGGGGCGCGTTAAGAAGAGCGTTTTCAACAAACTCCAAACATACATCGGCTGGCGCCTACGCTTGATACTGAAAATCAGATGGCCAGTATAAAAGGAATATGTAGCAAGAAAGTGACTCTGGCAACAAACTACCCAACCAAGAACCTATCGCTCATAAAATATGCAGAAGATGGAGATAGATTGGATTGTGCATACACTGAGAAGATGGTTTGCGGACATCATGCACCACGACAGGTTGTCGCGTGGAACCTGCTTAGGAAACTACTAGTTAGACGTCCGAGGAAAGCGTGACATGGAGGAGATGGTGTGAGGAAGAGTTAGGTTCAAAAGACTGCAGAGAAGAGAGTGAGATGGCGATGTTCTTCTGAAGCTCTGTGTTCCACTAGGAACCCTACAGAGAAGTAACAAGAATAATAAAGTTACAATTCACAGCTATGTTACATTTTCTACTGTTTGCTTTCGGATCCATATCTCATTTTGAACATCATAATTACGCGCGCACATTTTAGGTAAATCACGTATGATCAGTAAATTTATCATTATTGTACTGTAGACTTATTTTGACCGGTAAATACTTTCAAGAATATATTTAATTTCCTTATGTTTTTCACATGACATTGTTAATTTCTTAATGTTAGCTAATGACAAGAAAGTAGTAGTTCTATCCTATACATAGCAAACAAAACACTTCGAAATATTACAATGTACAATCGTACCTTCAGGGTTGTAGATACATCCGGAAAAGAATTGTTGAGAACTATGTACTTACGTGCATAAACTTCCGATAAATACTTTGAATCACCTTGTGCTCTGATTGCTCACTGTGTTAATAACGATCATGAAATCCATATACAGCAAACATATGGGTTCTACTGACTACCTTTTTGCGTAGTATACATTACATTGAGATAGAAATGATAAAAGCTGCAGTAGTCGTTCGCTACCTGTAATTTCCTGTTGTTAGTATGTAGAATTGCCAGACCACTGTTGGTAGATGACCTTCTTTGCGGATACTTCATTACTGTCTAAATCCCCACTTTTAACAGTCTATCTGATGGCTTACAGTGGAATCAAGGGAACGGGTTCTGTTCCTTTTTGACTCTCCAGCTGGATTTACCTCCACTCTGGTGAATAGTTTTGTTCCCACTGGGACTAGAACCCTGTTCGGATCGCTTCAAACAACAGTGGGTTGTCCATTAGGTGATTGGGGCATGGCACCCACTCCTTTTGTAGTGGGTATCAAATTATTTTGATAATTGTGATTTTCCAAACGGGATGAAATATCCGTCCTGGATTCCACTTCTAACCACCAGGCAAACTGAAACCTAATGAATATTTGTGCAGCATCGAGGCATAGGTGTAGCTGCTCATCTATCGAGTGAGGTCGAGCGATTTGACCCAAAGTAGCAACGGGAAATCACAATTGTCAAACGAGAGCAGATACCGATTGCAAAATAGGATGCTATAATACCCGTTGACCTAGTTGATGACACTTTGGTGTTTGAAGCGAAGGGTGTTGGGTTGGAGTCTCAACGGAAAAAAATCACTTGCTAGGGTACAAGCACATCCAGCTGACGGGTCACAAATAAGATTAAATGGTCTTCCAAGATTCCACTGTTAGACATCATAGGTTTGGTTGATCATTCATACTGAGCGAAGTGAAATTTTCCTGACTGTGACTATAGAGAATAAACATTTTGTTGTCGTAAAACACTTGTAAGAGAAGGACTTAATTTCTCTTCCTAGTACACTTCATTATTATTTCAGTTATCGCTTTCATTGTTGCAGAATGTTTTTCGATTTAAAGGACCAGAACCGAGTTCTTATACCTATCAATTTAGGATTAAATCCTATTTTATATGAAGTGTACTGCTACAAGCTGCGTTTTGGTAGCTCAGTATTTCGTCGGTTGGAATACGCCTTTCTTATCTGATAATAACTGAGTGAGGAATTTATTGTTTGATTAGGGTCACTTTCAAATCCTGGATCCATCTTTCAGATATGCTAGGAGACTGGAGATCTAAAATGAGGTAAGATGTATGAGTAGTTGGTCAGTATCACATTGTATTTCAGTGGATTTACAGCTTTGTGAGATCTTTTCATACTTCGAATCAAGAGAGTCTTCGAAAGGAAGAGAGTGTATTATGAAATCTGTTAGGTTCTTGCAAGAGATTTGAAATAATCAGTTCCTTTAAAAATTTCGATAATGCTATTAGAAGACGAAGATTATCTGAAAAATATGCGCAAGTTTATCACATTTTTCATATGATCTTCGTCTTCTAATAGCGTTATCTTGTAAGAGATCCGAATGTGATATTTAACTATATGATATGTCGATAATGAATTAGTTTCAATATCAAATTTAGGAGTCATGTAATAGCAGTCATGACTGTCGAAATCAAGTCAATATTTCAGAAAGAAAGGAGTGAAGTACAAAGGACAACAAATGAATAAAAAGATTGATTTTCTATCTTCATAACAAAATTTCGAAAAACTAAAATAAAATGCTTTTCAGTAACACCTTTTTTAATCACATTATCCGAATAACTCACCTGGATCGGGTGTGTCCATTTTTCCTCAAAAATACGAGATTCTTTTTCCAGATAATCACTAACTGAAATAAATAAATGGGAGGTAAAATAAAGAAAATATTTTGACTATGACTGTATTAGTGGTTTTGATCAGGATTTAAATTTTCTAAGGCAAAGTTTGTAATGACGATGCATTAGGTGAGCGACTTCACTATGTTTAGTTTACTGGTCATAACTTCGAACTTAAACTCATTTACACAATCCCCTGTCTATCAGTCAGTGAGTTACGGGTTTTTGTAACCTCACTTCACTTAATGATGGTTGATAGGCCAATTATTATCCCTAGTTCTAAGAAAAATAGGTGTGGTTTGTATTATAAAGCATGAATTTCCAGGTGACTACTTAGTTGATAAAACAATGAAAGACAAAGTCAGATACACTTTATAGTTCATTACACTTAAAATTTAAGATTTTTCATATTTCTGCGACAATGTGAATGAGTTCATCCAATTGCTTTTAGAGAAAGCTGAAACAAACTGTCACCTGTTTATTCTCGGTTAATTAATAATGCAATGAGTAGACAGAAACTAAGGTTGCCGAATAGTTTTACGTAATCGCTAATAATACCTCTTCTGCAGTTTACTGAGACTATCTCAATCAAATATTGAAACCATAAATATATTTGTATTTATGTGTATGTGTGCGTTTGTATTTAAGTAGCCCTGCCAGAGAGTGCTAACAGCGATGAACTACATATCCAGGATTTTCTGATGAATACCACCAATCATTCAACATCAGTCGTCTAGCTTGATAACACGCTGTAATATGGCCAACAGAATTCATTCTCTCCTTATGATTACAGAACACTATGTAGGTTGGTCTCCAGAGACCAACCAATCAAATGACATAACTCCTCTTCATTTTGACTCGATAAATTGTCATGTAAAGACTCATGTTTATGAATATACTTTTCATTGATTCTGAGTTGCAACTGCGGCGGAACATTCACAGTCCCTAAAACACTTTTTACATAACCTGTAAAAACTTCGTTGCTTAACTATGGCCGTTGATTTCCCGCATTTATAAACTTATCTGGACATTACATTGATTGAGTTACTTTGACTCTTTCCTGCTAAAAACGCACTATTTAAACTGATGTATTCAAGAAATGCATGTGTGCTTCTAAGTTTGATATTTACGATACAAAAAGTGGCTATGATAAGAATGTTTCGTCACGTAAACACTTAATTCACGGAGTGAAAATGGCTTTCATAACAAATTGATAACGCTTAGGGAATAGTGAAAACCTAGAATAACTAGGCAAACTTTCATCCTGGTTGACTTTCCCTGAACTGAAATCAGTCGCTGTTTTAATTCTATGTTATAACTCCTTCAAAAGCAAACATCAGTACACCATAGCGTTCAGGAGAAATAATTGCAGTCTATTAAAAAGACGGTAAAAGTACATTGAATGATAGGTGACTTCTGCTTCCAGATGGATTTTTTAAAGCTTAAGAATGAGCAAATGACCACTTATGATGTAGAAGAATGGAAGTGTTACATCACAAAGTGACAGAATCAAACAAATAAGTACCATTAGATTCCATTGAAGTGACTTAATGATAAAAGACTCTCTATGAGGATGGATGGTTTTGATCTTCATTATACATGGCGTCGTGGATGGAAGGTATTGGGGGGGTGAGCTAGAATTAGACAGTTCTCTACTGCTCTCCGTTTTCCAACTGTTCTCCAACTAGCGTCACTCCGTGATCAAAACTACTTTCAAATCATAGGACCATTACTCATCAACCATTTTCTACCTATTATCATATCCACATATACTTTTCAATTGCTAACAGACACTGAATACACGAAAAAACAAGAGCAACAGTCATTTAGAGTATGCAGCCTGAATCATGTGTATACAAGAAACAGGTGCAATAGGCACCACCGACTTGGTCAGCTTGGAAGTCTGCACATTCTCATGTGCTCTGTTCCATCAATTATTTGAATAGTAAACAATGAAAGCACTGTACAAATTTTATCACTCCTGACAATCCCAAACTCTATCAAATTCCTACATTTTAGTCCACTTGCATTCTGAAAACTCAATCTATTGGTGTTTACAGAATGACGTTTATGATCAAAGTGATAGAATTTATTTTAATCCTTGATCACAATCAATCAGCACTAGATAATTTATTGTCGTTCATAATCATTCACTTTGACCAGGAATTCTTTGACATAAGTGATTTTGATCATTGAGTATCATACAAAACACAAGATCATCTACATATTTTTCTTCTAAGGTGAACTCCAGTATTATCTGATTCTGGCAGTAACCTACAATTTATTTTGTTTCTGTATAGAATTGGCGAACTAGTTAATATAAACGATTAGCCATCAAGCAAGTGATACTGTTGTAAACATTTATTCGTTGATTAAGTGATATGTACATAAAACTGACCAATATATGAACGTCATAATTGATCATTTAATTTTGTTTGGGGATATGCGTTGTATAAATGTAGGAATGAAACTAAATAACTGATGTTTCAAGCTGCAAAACGAAGGATAGCAAATTGATTGGTATCCATCTCCAAGTCCAGTATTTACACACTTGAAAACAATTGTATTTAAGAAACGCTAGGATAGACAAATGTTAGAAATCAACAACATGCAATCTGACACTCAGTATTTCTTTGTAGTCACGAGAGTTGCTAAATACTTGTTTGTTCTAGGGCTCCTTAATAACTTGGTTTGAAACCAACCCTTAGGATGACTTCTTAGTATCTAATCCAGATTATTGTACATATTATATATTCAAAATTGTACTCTCCTACTTTGTTGAAGGTATTTGTTTTGTTTGCCTATTGTCCGCTAACTTCGATGTTGCCGCTTAAAAGATATTTCTCATGAGTTCATTTCGGTTACAACTGACAGAAACAGAAACATTAAGATATCTATTTTGTTGTTATCTTGTGGCATATTATGGCTTGCCTCAAAGAAGCAATGAAAATGTTTTAGAATGATAGCTATAGCGCACGCTGAAACTAGATAACTTGGATTTTCGTCAGAATACCCACGAAGTATACCATTCAATGGCATGACAGTCGTGATAAGGGCTTTAAGTTTTTAGAGTGATCAAGCCAGAGAAATAAAAGAAAGTTATACCACATACTTAAGGGCTTATGGAGAATTTCCAGCTTCTTATTCAAGTACTGACCAAGGAAAAGAAATTGAAATTGCCCTTATATATGGACTGCTTCAAAAACTAGAGGTGCGAGCCAACGAATAATTAACACAATTTTTTGAAGAGATACGCTTCCAGTAAAGTCATTTCGAAGTTGTATTTCATAAATATTATGTATACGGAAAGAAATGCGGTACCAGGAGAGGGGTAGAGGAAATACGTAATAGGGAATGTTTTTCAATCTGGAAGTGATATCATATCATTCGGTTGCGTGGTGCAATATCATCAGAAGAGCTGAATGCAGCAAACAGTGTTAGAGATAAAAATTTTCAAACTGGATGGATTTGATGTGTAGAATTATAGTATGTTTGAAAAGAGTGTTCGAAAAAATATTAAAGTCTAAATTGTTTCTACAGTACTGATAGTGTAAAGTATGGACGTGATTTTCGCCAAACTAATGTCTTGATTATAAATTAGTATACTAAACATTTTACAGTGAAAGCTGTGAAGTTGAAACCGACCGTTCAGACTATTTCCTTGGTTCTTTAATTTTCAGTCTTCATCAGTTAACAATTGAATGGCGATTCATTAGAATGGTCATCAGGAAAGCACGTGAAATGTCCTTTTACGGAAAAATTTTATACTGCTAAACTTAGACAGAATTTGATGTTAGATCGTAGCAGTCAGTCGGTAGGAAGGCCTGAATCTAGGTTGGCATTTATCGGCAAGGTAGTATCTGTAATCACGTTAAAACTGGTGTTCTCTTGGTGCTTTGGGCCCACGTCACTTATTGTTGAAGTCACAGACTTAACCAATAAACTATCAAGACCAAGTCTGGCACTTTGTAGAATCGAGTTGTTTACACGAATTGGTCACCACCGAGTAATCATTGTGCCTCTTTAATCCCAAGTGCTTAGAGTTAACCAAAGTCTACAGACTAAGGTATACAATAATGCCAATAACAAAAGTGATGTGATAATATGATACACTGTATTTGATTTTAGATAGTGTGAGTCACTCGGTAGGAAACTTTGCTTTGTACTCTCCAAAAATCACTATCAGCTGATGAACATTTGGTATTAGTTTGTGAGCAAAACTTCTTTCAAATCAACCCATTTCTAGAAACCATCAATTGAATTACTATTCAACCGTCATTATTGGCACGGTGAATTTCCAGAAATCTTATTGAGAATTCATTACCTGGCCGGATTGTGAGTAAGTACTCTTGAGGATGGGGGGATAGTCGTTAGCTTTCAGGTTCTCAGCTGTTCCCAAATCACGTCAGTTTATGATCAAGCAAACTATTTACAAATAGACACATGTTTAAAAATGAATTCAGTTATTATTTTTACATTCTGTTGTTTTACAGAGTGAAATTCACGATTGCCTATCAAGGATGTTGGATTAAAAAGTAGTGACGAATATCAGGGTTAGTATTAAACATAAAGGTTAATTATTTTCTGGATGTCCAACTTAGAACAAAGAAGTTTAGGATTTTGTACTTGAAAATGGTCACTAAAAAAGGAGGTATGCTTTCAGCTTAGGAAACACTCATATTCTCTTGGTAATATTAACTTGGTTTACTCCTTTGTAGAAATTGCAACTTACTAACAGCTTTTCTATCAGTTGACAGAAAATAGTCCTCGAGTTTAAAGAGCCAACGTAATTACTCTGCAGTGGGCAATTAAGGTACATATTGCAGCAGTGAGTCATTTTCAAGGAAGTTTAAATCCGAGTATGAGAACCATATTCCATAAAAACTAGAGAGGTCTTATTGGTGAATATCTAAGAGCTGAAATCTTACTTTGAGGAGAAAGAGAAAGATGTCAAAACTACGTACACCTTCATGATGAGATACTCATATAATGTTCACTGTCAGAAACTAGTTGA